CGTACGTATGCATACGAAGAGGAAGGCATTCAATGAATCTGGTAACAATCAAATCGGCAATGCAGTGCGGTGACTATTATTGATCTAACATTGCTCCAACGGTTCACTTAAGTAAATGACGTCTCTATGGATCTTTACGTAATTGGGATGAATCGTACCAGCAGTTGCCGTCGCCGCCGCCGCCGCCGCCGCCGCCGCCGTCGGGTAACCGGAAAGACGCGACTGGATTGATTGGAGCAAATAGTCGAAGCCTCGCATAACGATGGTTAAAGATCCAGCCGCACTGGGATTATCTAGTCGTTTATTGGACATACGGATATGTTAGCATAGAAACGGATACACAAATAAATATTCTGTCACTGCTAAATATATTGTGAGCACGAGATCCATCCGATCGGTGACCATTATCTAGAAACAAATATTACTATAAAATTATATTTATATAATAAATAAGTAAATACTAATAACGCTATTAGTATTTACTCGTTTTTTTTTTTTATTAATTACACGTATTATTTGAGTATAAGAAATTGAAGCAATAGTCAATTCCGTTCACGTAGATTCCTTGCAAGTTCTTCGTGTTTTGTATATCCGCTTGAGCTGTGATAGATGCCTGCGTATCACAAGGAGAAGTAAAACCTTATAAAGTGGGTTTTTCTCTAGATGTTTGAAATTGCTTGACCCATTGAAAGGTTAACTGATTTACCTAATTATGTATGCCTTGTTCAATACTTGATTGTTGGACGTAAAACGAAAAGTTCCATTGGGCTCATGTTATGTGGACTTCATAAATGAGCATATATCTTTAATTGTATTACGGCAATTACTGTGAACAAACAGATTAATCAAGCGAAACGCCCCCTCCCAGATGGCCATGATCACAAATCATATATGTGTTCAAATTACTGACGCGGCCGGCTTTGAAGCCTAAACGATGCTATGAAAAGAGGCAAAAATCACTGCGCTTCTTTCATGGCAACTGAGTTGAAAATAGAACATATGACGGTAACTTGCTCCTAACTGTGACAGCACATTTAGGCTCGCAACGACGACGAAAAACAAATCACGATTCTGCTGGCTTTATTGGCCGCTCACGGCATTTAGGACTGGAGCACGACGTGCGGCCGCTATTCTCTCCTTAAATCGGCACCAGCCAGAGCCACCGGCACAGCCGTCGCTTTGACCAACCTAAACAGGAGCAGCAACAGCCGAAGCGACAGGAACACTGCCATCGACAGAAAAGCAGCTCACTATTCCCTTATTACTAGCCTCCTCCTCATCATTATCAATATTATTACTATATACGTGCAGGCGCTATTCTTTTTTTTGGCGGGTAGCTTTTTTTTGGCACGCAGTAGCATTTGCTATATGTGCGTGACGTCCCCGAACACGCGCGTGGACAGATGATCATCTATATATCTCGCTATTAATGCTGCCTCTACCTCAGACTATTATACTCTACCAGACTGGTCTCCGATGGATGCGTAGGGAATAGGCGCACCGGCAGCGGGGAAACGCTTAGGAGCATAGGAGCTAATTTTCTGAGATGTTTGCTTGTTTGGTCAGACGATTAGTCGTAGTTAGGCGCATGTTAGGCGCGAGATCACCGATCGTTCGTAGATCGTTTAGGATTGTGCAGGACTGGCGAAACGCAACAGACGATGATCCACAATCGTGCGCAAGCAGGCCCTAGTTCCCAGCCGTCGCTCAATAGATAGAATAGAATCCATTTGAACTTTGCCACTTGATAAAGTCCTATTTCCCGCCGATGTTCAACTTATATGTATTTCTGTGTACCTACGTAAACGATAGCCCTGAAATGTAGATAACAATGAGTTGATGATGACACGCGACGAGAATATATCAAGGCACCTTATAGTAATGAATTGCCAAATGGTCTTACTAGCTTCGCAAGCATGCAACATCATCTAGGGTAGACTCGGGTAGACACAAACAATGCACCGGGGCATTTCTCCTCCATGTGTATCTCTATACAGTTTGAGCTTATTTATTTATTGAGCGAGTATAGGAGATTCTCAGTCTCTCGCATTGTCACAAATCGCCAAAATCGTTTAGCCAATACCAAATAATTCTGACGATTGGCGACACCGCGACACTCTGGGAAACCTCTATAAGTGCTCAGTAAATTGTCTTATACCATCATGTAAAATTAAGTTTTAAATGAGGTTGTTCTTCCGCAGGATATCATTGCAGATTCGTCAACATTCGGCGACCGTATCTTTTTCTTTTTCTTTTTTTCTTTTGCACCTAGGGTTGATCGAGCACAGAACTTAGGATTTTTTAAAGTAACTTGAGTTTTGTTTAAAACTCATAGTTGACAAATGAAGCTTGTACGGCGTACTTCTGTGTCGCAAACGTCAGCATGAGTAAATGAAAGTCAACAACACATTTTTCACTCCCTTTTAGGCCCAACAGAAATTTTTTCTTGGGTAAAATATAACGAACGAGCCCACTAAGGGTATATATAGGAGGAACGGAAACAAAGAAATTATATATTCAAAAAAGCTGTGTTAAAATGCTAACTCAGACATGATCAAGTGGATTCTGTGTAAGCTAAATACTGACAGAGTTTATATATTTATATAATATTACAAGCAGATTTGCCTAGTCTTAAGTTGGGTCTCACTCGGCTTTTACTTAATCAGAAACTGAAATTCAGTCCGTGCTAGAAGCAAGTTTTAATGTTTTACATTGACTTTATACTAAATAAATTAAATAATTTCCATATATAACGAAAAGTAAGTTGTTATTGTATATATCAGGGATAAAGCCAAACGCGACTTTCTAACACATTAGTGGCCTAACGTATTCATACAAAGCCTAAAGGCGGAAAGTAGGATCGGCTAAATGCGATTTCTGGTGCAAGCCTACATTGGTATTGTCCCCTAAGCACAGATCAACATAGAACAGAATCCAGTGGTTGTTTATCGTGTTGGCTGACTATTTCCACTATGAAAAGCTTCTCTCCATTCTAGGTCAAGAAGGTAGTTTGAAGGGATACTAGATGACGAGAACGACCATCAAAACCTGTTGCGTTTCGTAAACAAGATGTATGCAGATGGTACCTTAATTGAGCCCACATATACCTTTTTGGCTATCTCAGTCGTTTAGCTACTGAAAGGAAGTTGACATTTTTTTTACAAAAAACATTCTTTGCCCACAAAAGCAATATATATATATATATATATATATATATATATCTTAATTAGATTTCTGGGAGTGAGAAACTCTGACTCTGATACAACTGTTGAAAATTATGCCTAGAATTATTGTTTGAGGCAGAAGCTTGTACAAATCAGCTAGCGCAAATCTTTATCAAACAAACATAAATAAGCAATGCACTCCGTAAAGTGTTGCAATTTAGCTTAAAATCCATTCTGGTGGCAACCTGGCGAGGCACTTTCTGCGCCCTCTTTTCCAATTTCTATCTTCATTTTTTGCTTGCTTGTTGGTTTTCGGCGAGCGGGTGCATTTATCCAACGTCCACAAACAGTGGTCAAATGAGGCTCTTGGCAACGATATTGCCATTTTTCAGTGCTGCCGCTTGACAAAAAAGAAACTCTTCAACTTACGGTACGAAGAGTGTATACTGCGATCTCGATTAATATCATAGCAGGCAGCTAGACGTTCTTTCATAACAACTGCGATGTCAAGGCCAAGCCGCGTTTGCTAGTGTTTTGCGCAAACACATTTAATATAGAGGGAAAAAGAGGCTGCGGTGATAGTCTCCTACGCATGATATCTATCATCACAGTATTATACTGTATTCTATTGTTTATAATAATGCTTCCATCGCTATCGACATTGTTTCATTTGGCGTGATTGTGACAGCCGGTCATGCGCGTCTGCGCTCGAACAAATATGCCGCTGATTTTCTATTGCTCCTATTTCTCCCGCATTTCATTTCTTTTTATCTAACGGCCACCTCCGGTTGTTTCCCAGGGGCATTTATACATCGACGCGCTTACACATGAATGCACCATATACATTGGCCACTCTCCAGACACATACGCACACTGAGTAAGGCTAAGTCAAATTGTCTCAGATGGACACAGCACGCCGGACACCGAAACGCACAGGGGGAGACACGGAGGCTTACACGTATACGCCGTGTCCCGTCGAAAGTAATCCAATCGACAATCCTATTATTATCGATCGGCTGAAGCGAAGGCGCCGTTGAAGTGTTGTCCTTTGTCTTGAGCCCACTTGAGTAAGGGCGATAAAGCCCGAATTGACGCGCTACGCACGATGAAATCCATTGTTTTGGCTGACCGAGTAAACGATTTCGATAGAATAGACCAGTCGATAGGTGCAATAGAGTAGAGTGCAGTAGAACAAGATGAAACGTAGCCAAAGCCAACGAATTCTAAGGGGATGGAGGTACGAGATAACGAGACAGCGGCCGCCAGCATGGCCAAAGGAAAGAATGGCAATTGCCGCCGCTGCTGCCCATTTTGGACAAGCTCTCCTTTACCAAAGCTGACGGTTATCGTCGTGCTGGTGATGGTGTCGAGCAAATTCGAACTGCCGACGCCAATTGATACCAGCTAATAACTGTGTGCCCCCCGGGCTGTTGATGTTGATACCCTCTGTTATTAGTAGTGGTAATAAGCGCTGTAACAAGGATACCCACGCCTTTGCCAAACACCTTTACCAAGTCCAAGCGTAAATTCGTGTCTGGGTACCATGCATCGAGGTATGGCGGGTCTGCTGCTATTACCATAACTGTGGGTCGGCGAAGGAATCGATCTGGCTGCCGCAGCTGTAGGAGCTTTGCGACATTTGCGACGATTAAGTAACACAACACTACAATTTGGCATGAGACCGACCGTAGTCTTCACCCCACACTTTTTGCAGACATCAACTCTGCTCCTCGCAGACCTCATGGAACAAACCCCACTTCCAGATGTCCTATATATGTGCATATTGTACTTGTAAACTAATCGATCTAAAAAGCATTTTTGCATTTTATTTTTCAGGAAACCGAAATCGCGCGGGCTTGCCCGTCGAAACAGGACAGTGGTGTGCTTCGTTCGATTAGCTATCGATCTATTGTACCGCGGGGCTTGTGCCCAATAGGGTTTTCGTTACGTTTCGTGGCTAACAATTTACAAGCTACTCCTGGATAAAAACCTAACTTAAACATAACAGTGACCGCAGCGTTCTCTTTACAGGTGGATTCCTGTTGAGCGTCGCCGCATGTTGGACTGCAACTTCCTTGTGGATACAAAGATGCTCTACGCACGGCAATGGATAACGATATGATTGTGTTGTGCCCAAATCGACGATACAGATTTGTTGCCGATGGATTTGTCGGCTACTGAACGTCGGAGTACTAGCGACATAAGTGAATTCCAATAATATGAAGTACGTGCGCCCATGCATATGTGAACCTCAGTACACTTCGCGTGCTCAAAGACTAGAAATAACCAACATGGATACTCCATCGATCAGTCTAAACAGGACTATCTCAACTGTAACAAAATCTATTGTACAAATTCTAAATATGGATGCTAGATTGCGTTCTACCAACTAAAATCAAAATATTTGAAATCGCCATTACGAGCTGTTGTTAATTTGATCGAAATTATATTTCTAAAGTTAATTTTTCAAAAGAGATACGAAGGTGCATGAAAGAACCGATTCGGAAACTTTTGATATTGTTGAAAAGATAGCTTATTTCGAAAGCAAAACTATTTTTATGTCAGGCTCAGTTAGGTGTAATGATGTGAGAAGACTTCACGAGCGTACGCAGGATGCGTGCACTCAGCGGATCAACGGCTTTTTAGATAGGCTGTTTAAGATCAAGCAAATGATTCCTTAATGAAATTTTCATCAACATACTCGATATACAATGGCTGGGTGTTAGTTCCGTGCTTCCTATTGAGTGATGACCGATTTCTACCATCATTCGTAATGGATCAATAAAGATTATCGATATTTTCACGCTCAGTAGTTAAGGGTGTTGTCTTTTTGTTCGGAAGTCGCGTCCATACGCGTGTATGTGTGTCTGCGCAGCGAATACCTTTAAAGAGCTCGAACAGCTATTAATTGTACATCGTTTGCCCTACCGTTTATGATATGTGTATAACACAAGCACAAGAAAATTAATCGGCTCTCCTAATGAGTTACTTTGTTTATTTAAGTGTATCAATCAACAGGTAATGTTTCCATCTAGCGGCTTCCACTATCAGTCCGGAGTTTTTGCATCTATCCCAAGCCGCCATGCCTCTTCAGTCTGCATGCTATGCTACTATTTTTTTTCTTTCCTTTTTTTTGTTTTTTTTTTTTTTTTTTTTTTAAAAACTCACTTTCACAAAATAATTGGCCTTTCCTTGGTTCTTTCCCGGCACAACTTCATTCTTCCTTTACATTATACTGTACAAGATGCTTGGGTGGCGCATTATGATTCGCCTGTTTCTACAATGTACCCATTATCTTGTTTATCTGTCTGCGTTCAATCTTACAGCGGCATCGAGTGCCTCATCGGGAGCGAGTGGCACAAGCGAAACCAGGGAACAACAATCAGTCATGAGTGAGCTCGACCAGGTCGTGCAAGCTCTTCCACTGATTCCAAACCTGCAAAATTTGAACCTCGAACAGTTATCGCACACACTTAGTTTAGCGTTGGCTGGCAGTTCGGACCACTCCACGACTCCAAGTACAATAGGTGGTAGCAGCGTTAAACAGCTTAAGTGCAAATATTGCGAATTCAGTACACCGTACCAAGCTGTGCTTAAGACGCACACTCGGAGTCATAGTGGTGAGAAGCCGTTCAAATGCCCGTTCTGCAATTATTGTACAGGACTCAAGCACAACCTTGAAACGCATTTAAGGACCCACACTGGCGAGAAGCCGTACAGCTGTCCGTACTGCCCGTACAAATGTGCAGCCAAGGGTAAGCTATTTCATATATTCCGTAACTTTCAGCGTTTCGAACGAACGTTTCCTGAGTCTTTAGCTACCTATAGTATATTGGTTACGGGCTTAAAGAAAAAAAAACGTTCGGTAGAGCACAAGCTTCCTCCATTAATTTCTAGTTCTGTTGTTGCGTAGAAATGCCATTACGTCGCTATAGCGAACTCGACTCAAGTGCTTCGAGTGTTCACAGGGGGTCTAATCTAACTATTACTGCTGTCTCTACGACGCGCTAACTCAGGCCGAGACACAATGAAAAGGCCATAACTGATATATAGGATATGCATGTTATCACGTGGATCATTCCTCAAGCATTGCAACAGATGTTTTCGTGTGTGTTTTTATAACAGCGATGCCTAAATAACATTACGCATTCACAGCTAGGTCATGCTATCTCTGTTTACCGTACAGGAAACAAGCTGTTACAATTTTCGAACCATTCAGTTACGTACGTTTGCTCAGCGCGAAGAAAAGCGGACCTGAAAGCACGACCTGTTTGATTTTTGGCGGCCATCCTTGAGTCGGACCTTAATTCTGCCACTATTATAAAACTCGTCCTGGCTTTGTGTATCTAAAATAACAAGACTAATGCAAATAGCACCATTACTATTCATAAGGCCAACAAGAAATTCGAAGCGATCTTGGTGACGCTATGTACACATGCTATCGTTACGCACATTGGGCCTGAGGAGAGAGCGCTTCTCTTCGAACGGCGTGCTGTTCACTTCTCGATCATATTTATCTCAAGATTTCATATACTATATTTATAGTACACTTGAAAAGGAGCGTTCACAAAATTTTAGCTTTATTTGGTCCTCCATAGCTCTTCGGCGCGTTACCACTATCGACGTTCTTTTTGCCAAACATTTTGCTTGTTCAGCCGTTCCGAACGGAGAACGGACGACAGCGGCGTTCATTTCGCTGAATCTCTCAAACTAACCCTCCGTCATTTTCTGAACGTTTTGGCGCCGTCCGTTTCCGTATAAACGTGCTTAGATTTGTATTTGCTGTAAGCATAATCTAGCTGTTCGGAATCAAAGCTCAAATATGATTTGTCAGAATTCTATACGAATACATCCGAACAATTGTAAATAAATACACTCCAATTTATATACATATAGTGGAGTGGCTTGATATATAAAAGCCGACATAATACTCGCGCGGATCTGTATATTTTAGTGGAACGAGCCGAATCATTTGTAGTTAGGTAGAAATTTAGACTCCTACGGGAGACCATAGTGGAAGTGCCTGTAGGGCCTAAATCGAGATTGTAATATTCCTTCCAGTGGACGGTAGCGAGGAAAACTGAATAGTAGCAGCTTGCGATTAATTTAAAGACTCGTGTTAATTGAATGTGTATTGGGTTGCCTATACCGTTTGCAGGATAGATAGATCACTCTGAAGGGCTATTTTCGACGAACGATATAGGGTTGACAAAACCATCAAATCAGAATGGACTTGTACTAATATTTCTGCGAATTTCCCTGTATGATTTTTTAAAAAAGTCGATACTAACTTTGGTAGTTCCATAACACTCTAATCAGGCGGCTTTTCATGCACCCTTCAAAAATAGCTATCTGGGCACTTGTTGCGGCGTTAGACGCTGCTGCTGTGGGTCAAGGCATTCGTAGTTCGAGTGTTCGAGCGATGTCTAAATAAGTGACCTCCTGAAAACTAGCCGCAAGAGTATCATTGATATAATTTATTTTCTTCTACGAATTACATATATTTACTTCTTACCCTAATCTCGGCGGATACCAGTAATTGAATGCAATAGTCTGAACCATATGTATTATCTATCTGCGTACGGTGACGTACAACGGGGCACCAACGAAGTGGGAACGTTATAAATTCGAAATTCGTTTTTTGCCTTGATTGATCATTAGTCCGATCGTTTTTTTTTTTTTAAATGTGAATGCTACTGCTTTCTTTTTTGAATTTTTTTGTTGGTCGCGTCCCCCTAAGCCTGCACTACCCCCCACTTTCGTCCTGTCTTACTTTGTTTCTGTTCAAAGGCCTTTCCCATCTGACAGTCGTTCACAGCTCCGTCGGCCGCTTCGCCAAGCGTCGTTTCTGTTCGCAGGTTATTGCTGATCTCTTTCCCTTTACTTCTGGTGCTTTTGTCCACTTAGCGCTTTTCTTCTGAACTCCTCTGCGAGAGTCGAGTGGCCTCTTACGTGCGGCCTATATTCATACATCAGGCCAAAAGCATCAGCATCAGAGATAGCAATACCAATCCCAACTGTAGCCATGACAGCAACAGTGGTAGCGCAAAAACTGGCTGTGAAGCCATCGCGCAGTCGCCTCTTTCCCTCTCTCGAATACGAATTCTTAAATCGAAAAAAGCTGCCGGTGTCTGTTGTTATCACGCTGGCGGTGAAGCCTGGGTCGCGAAGAAGCAAAATCCAAAATCGAGCTGCCCAAATGGCAGCGGTACTCAAAGCCACGTCAGGGAAGAGAGAAAAATGAGCACGCAGGTAGAATGATGACGGAGTAGGTGGGCGGCGGCAACGGTGTCTGCGCTGATGCGCGCATCCAATACTTCGCTACTGCTGTTGCTATTGTCGTCGTTCAAGTTTCTTTTCGACGAGCGTCGACCAAACAGCGGCAGCAGCAGCCTCACTTGCTTTTCAAACCGTCGACAATTCGTCGTTTCAAGTTCTATCTTCGATTTTGGTGTTCTTTTTTCTATTTCACTCCTCATTCTCACTCGTCGTCAACATCGTTGCCATCTTCGTCGATGGTTATCCATCTCCTTCTCACTCGCCGCTGTTCCGTCATCATCGGCTCTATTTTTTAGTTATTATTATTACTATTATTACCACTGGTAGTTACGGTAGTGCCACTCGACAACCACTAATGGGCATGTGAGTATGATTCTCCTATGTATTATTACTTGTCGATTATACACGCAGTCGTAATATGGCGATATGACAGGTTCTGTCCTTTTATGCGGTCGCTGCCTCTCGCCGTCATTGGGGCAGATTCATTTGAGTCGTCGTTTTTCCTGCGGTCGGATCAATGCTGCTGCTGAAACTTTCGTCGTCAATAGTACTGTTGTTGCTATTGACAAAGCAAGGCTAGACATATAAACATGTTCATCGGTGCGCGCGTGTGTGTGTGTGCCACTATGCGTGGATAATTTGGCCATTCGCCTTATGTACGTACGTATTTCTTCGTTTATGTATGATGACCAAAAATTTATGTAGAGTACAATATTCGGCTGGTACTGCCACCGTTTTTACTGGTGCTGTTGTCGTTGCTGATATGAGATGTTTTGGAGGAGAAGGAAGGGGGTGGAGGGGAGCTTTCTTGGCCTGCCATTGCACCCAGACACTTAGCCCGTTCTAAGATGGATATAGAATACTTTCTCCCTCCGGTCTCCTGTTCTATCCAGACAGTAAGCTGCTGCTGCTGCTGCTGCTGCTGCTGCTGCTGTTGCTGCTGTTGATATAATACGATGGTCGTAGTGTTTATTGCTGCAGTGAGCAACTCAGTGATTCTTTCTGCCCGTCCGCAGCAGCAACATAGACGATTACAGAAAGCCGCCCTTCTTCTCGTCTCGCTCCCTCTCCAGTTCTCTCTCTCTCGCTCTACCTTTTATTTCTTTTTCGGCCTACATAGGCACACATAGATACATATAAACACAGAGACAGAACGAACCGACATAGACAGATGACGCCGTTGATACTAATACCGCCTCTTTGTCGCTGGTGTCGCCCCCTCCTCTTCTCGCCGCCGTTGTAGTTGTAACGGGAAAAGAGCTATGGCGTTACTCGCTATCATATTTGTACAGCAGCTGCAGCGGTCCTTCTTATTCAGAGTTAGCATGGGCAGAGGTAACCACATGAGAGTGAGCCCGTCGTTCGCTAGGAACCGCGTCGGAGGCGCCGATAATATATATACGCATCTGTGTGCACCGCCTATATAAAACAACGAAACAAAGGAATGCGCGGGCTTGAGACGTACGGACGCAAATGTTTTTTGTGGCGAAGCGCTAGAGATTAAGTAGAAGATGCGAAAGACAAGCAAAGCGCAATCGTAGACAGTAGTTTAGATGACCGAAAATAATCGCAGATGAAAATTAAACAGCGATAGATATCATATCCTGTTCGTTCTGCTCTCTCCGAACTTTGTTTCTTATCGAAAATGCTGTTACGTAACATTGGGATTGCTGTTAACTGCCACACAAATGCACACAGTACGATACTACACGTAGGAACTGCGTCATGTTTTGACGAATGCTCATTGAGACAATGATGTATTGCTTTGCAGAACAAAGCCAGCAAAAAAGAACAACTTTTACCATGATGTCCCATACCAAGTTCCTACTCAAAACAAAAAAAGGTCTAGAAAGACGGCGAAGCCTAGCCTGGAGACACCTTGTCCAAATAACGGTAGCTTTCACTCGCAAGAAAAAAAAAACCTCACACGTGCGTTTTTACATAAGCTTTGCGTTAACAACTACGACGGACGTCGATTTAAAAAAAAAAAATTTACTACTTTCTGTAAACCCACGTTTTTCGAACCACAAGCTTATTCAATTTATTTATTGAATATTATCAAAAATTATATTATTTCATCGAAAAATTACTAGTGTATGGGTATAGGTATGATGTCTGTCATTGTACTACTATTCTATTAAAATAACGCCTTTTCAAATGAATGGATAAATAATAGTGCGCCTTAGACACATGAGCGAAGTACGTATTGTACGGTAGGCTACTACCTAGGTAACTTAGAACTATGGCCCTTCGTTTACTATGACTATTACCAATACGGTTGTAAAAACAAAGAATATTTATGTATGAAGATAGGGAATGTTTCTTCATCCCCATTCATATCTTATCAATTTTCAGTCGACCGGCATATTCGTGCATCAATACTCAGTAACAAAATGTTTCTTTCGTCTCTTATTTTACGGTACTCGTTACCGGCTTTAGGCAATCTAAAGTTACACGTGCGGACCCATACTGGCGAGCGGCCATTTCGCTGCAAACTGTGTGACTATTCAAGTGCGCAAAGCAGCTCATTAGCTACGCATATGAAAACCCACAATCGAGAGCCAGGTCGAGTTTATCAGTGCCCACTATGTCCGTTTGCCGCTTTCTTCAAGCACAAGTACGATCAGCATATGAAGCTTCACCTTCAGCAGGCCCAACAAGCTCAGGCACAGCAACAGAACCAGCAACAACAACAACAACAGCAGCAGCAGCAGCAGCAGCAGCAGCAGCAGCAACAACAGCAACAACAGCAGCAGCCGCAACATCAATCTCCTCAGGAGATTCAGCTGCCACCAGATTTGGCTCAGGTACAGCAACTAGTAGCTCAGGCAGCAGCGACCGCCACAACCGTCGTTGATTTTCCGCCGCAGACGTCGCAGCCTTCGTAGAAGAGAGAAAGAGAGGGCGAGAGAGGTAAATACGGCAGGGGCAGCGCATATGCTCGGCGCGATCGTTTTAAAAATACGACAACTCTTTAATCGAAACAGAAAAATCACTCTGGGAAGAGGTGTCTGGCCAACGCGTATTATTCGGTGTAGTATTTAACATGCTATCCACAGTGTTATAGCAGACACAGTTGACTTCTTTGTTTATTATTTTGTTGACGTCAATGGCTTCAGAGATGACTTCAGTAGCTCTTGTTTGTAATAACACAACATTGTCCGTTGAGCGTCATACTAATAGCAATCTGCTGACCCTTTATCAAGTCAGTTAAACCTTTACCAAGTCAGTGTAAATCAATAAAGTACACACCGGTGGGGGAAAGGTGTGGAGCTATACAAGCCCTCCTTTCCCTGCTATATGATTAAGGTCTACGTAATAACTTTTAGGCTATATGACCTAACTAGCTCGACTGGGTGTGGTCGCTGAAGGACGTATGATCGCCGGGCAAGAAATTAATTGCGTTCGAAAATTCTGCTTTAGCACACGATTGTCTTTGATGATATTGGCGCAGCATGTCAACACAGCCGTGCCAGTAGTTGTGCATCTATATCCATATATGAATAAATTATATTTGTATAAATATATCCCAGCTCTGAGATTCAGGAAGGCTACGTGTCTCTATTAAAATGTACGTCCCAAATGCATCCCAGACGCATTCTATCAGACGGTATATGAGTGCTAAGCGGACACCGTTCTTGGTCCACTATCGTTTCTTTCATTAAGGGGTGTAAATTTTGAATTTGAAATGCGCGCGCCACTCATTTCATTGCTGTGACAAACGATAATATGAGGCCCTGGTTAGATTATATCGCGCGAAAATAGCCCTCCATATTAAGATTGGAGAGGCGCTTCCTACTGCATCAACAGTTCAAGCTGTGATCGCCATAAGGATGACAGGACGTGGCGTAGATTATGATGTACCTGTTCGGAGCTCACCGTTTCGAACGGGAGCATCTCAAAGCAAAATTACTCACGAGGGGTTGACACGACACGTGCAGTTACGCTAGACGCGCCGTCGATCTTCACGTTTTGTCGCAACGACACGAGCATCGGAGGTCGCCGCCAGCAGTGGCGTTCTGGGCAGGACGAGGTGTTCGCACCGCTGGCAAATGGGCACTGCAGCTACTCAAGTGGGGCCATTCAAATTTTCAGGTAGGTTCGCCGGCCATCTTCATTGCTTTTTCGCAGAGTGTTAAAGAATAGAGGAAGATCGATGACGCTGAGCAGTGGACCTCATTACCGTTAGGCCAGTTGACCTGATCTTGCATCCCTCTGATGTGACACGCTTGAAATCTAATGAAAATCGTAGTGTCTATTGGCAGTACGGAAGAGTACATCTGTGAAGCCTTTCCTCAGCTACTCGATATCAATCATAGTATTTTACCTCTATGTTTCGAGTTTAATGTGTCGGTATCACCACTAGGTGTTTGATCAGACGGCTGGCTCCCAGCACGCAACGAAGTCCGTCTATGCCCGGGTTCGAGCCTAAGTCACAACATATTGGCAGGCAACTACGTTACGCACTATGCTACCATAGGGACAACAGCATTTTATCTAGGAGTTACCAACGCGGATGATGACAAAGGAACAGCAATAAGGAATTCGTAATACACAAAAAGCCTGCTGTAGAACTGTTCGCCTGTTGCGGGCAAATAACCACGAATAGAGAAAGACGTGTTATGTTTTTATAACGTAGGCAGTCGTAAGTCGCATAATATGTCAGCTCTGAACGATACCATCATGTAACCAATCAACCTCTGTAATGATTGTGTATACACTTTGATTTAGGGAATGCTAAAAGCAACCTAATAATCGCTATACCCTACACATTGTACATAAATGAAGTTATATATATATATATATCCACTAAATTACCTGGTTATCGCTATGTACGACATGACGAGCAGAGGCTGGCCAAGACGCATTTAGACACCTGCTATTGAAAGTCGGCGGCAGTGAAAAAAAAACAGAGAGAATAATTAACAAAATGGTAACGGCGGCAACTACTGAATGCTATATAAGTGCTAATGCTATATAGTCCTCGTTATCACGACGAAACGGCATATATATATATATATATATATGCTACTGCTCTTTGCAGTTCACAATTGCAATATAGATAATAGATAGAAAAAAAGCAAGTTCCGACGCTAGTAGTGCAATGGTAATAGTTGTAGTTCTAGTAATAGCAGCAGCGGCAGCAGTCTCCGAACGAACGGCGATGATATGTTAGCCTTAGTTACCAACGCCACGATCAGTCAATCACTGTTTACCATAGAGCCTCGCTGAACGGCCACTCGCGAATATGATATTTATGCAAGCTCTAGATCAAATATATATATATATATATATATATATTATTGTACAGATGATGATGACGACGATGTCTGATAATATTATTAAATAGAGCTGATGGTGCGGGCGGAGCGTTGTGTGACTGTTTACATAACCAACGAATGCCATATGTATGATTTTTGCCGCCACGGTTTAAACTGGCTTGGTGCGTACCAGTGCTCCACCCGCGTATATATATATATATGACACGTTTCACAGCTAACCGTGACCACCCAAAACAATTTTTCACGATTTCGATAGTGAACCTAGGCATTGGTAAGCCTCTATTCTGGTTACTCTCAATATCAGCTGTGGCCTCCTTAGTCAGATGACAATAAAATGGACAACCCGTAAAAGTAGTCTCCAAAACAGGAACTTACTATAAACATTTTTTTTTTTTTTCTGCAAACTGCGTTCAGTTGTATATAGGGGAAAGAGCAAAGGTGATTAACTATCTTGTTAGGTTGAATTGGTTCGCTGTGAAAGCGTTTCTATTCGTATTAGATGCGAAACATATGACCAATAGAATTTTGTATAGATACGATAAAAGCGTTAGCGAATAGGTGACCGTTTGCTGGGAGACAATAATCTCACAATCGAAAACAATCAACGATACGGGATAAAGGAAAACGAAGGTGACCAGGCAGGAAGAGCCTACAGCAGCTTTGAAAACGTTATGAATCTGAATCGAGCGGCATTGTAAGTCGTTGTTTTGGAACGTTATGAAACGTTACGTAGTACCATATAAATATGTAAGAATAAACTTGTGCGTGTCAAAAATGCTTGAGCAACTTTCCGCGGCACGAAAAAAAGACGACTATTTAAACCAATGATTCAGCATTTTGCTGAGGTCTTCCTGCTCTCGGACAGCCGAATGGAACACCTCGCCAGCTGGAACCTCGAGTATGGCGCAGCAGTCTTTTTTTTTGTTGTTATTCTTTCCGTATCGCAGTATTACATTGTCTGCAAAATGATCGATTTCTCATTGCCCTATAGGATGCCCGACGATGCAACGCTTACGACTGTCAACCAATGCTGTTCCACCCGTAAGTCGTACCAACAGCTGAGAGGTAAATCTGAAATGATTCGAACAAATATTAGTTGGGCGAACGCATTTTTCAATATTAAATTGCTGAAATGCATTTATGATAATGAATTTATGGTATGGGAAGCCGGGCCACGGTGGTAGGCGTTACGTCTACTCGCAAAGTAACGCTCATACGGTATGTAGTATTGGTGTTGTTTTCTGGTATCTTGTAGGCCAACCATATATAGCTTGTCAAACTTTGAGTGTGAAAAGTTTACGCCCAAAACGTCTTCACTCATCTTCGAAATAGATGCGCCATACTCCACACGTTAACAACAGTTAATGTAAAAAATGTTCAGATCTTAGACATGTGTAGCTGGCTTTAGAGACCCGTTGTAGAAGAAGCACAGTAAGACAGGAACTTTTAGACCACTCGCCGGCGATAACTTTTTTTTGTTTGTTTGTTTGTTTTTCGAAAAAATTAAATCGCACAACATTATGTCACATAGCTACATCGATGTTGACAACTGTGCACAAAACAGCAAGAGAAAAATTATTATTGCTTCGTTTAAGATGGCCGTTTCTTTAATACGTAAGTATATCCTGTTTCTTCATCCATGAAACGACGACTAAAATGCTCAAATCGCAATCGATCTTTTAATTACGAATGAGCTGGAATAACTCTCTCTAGTGGTAGAATAATGGCTAACACAAACTGTATATATAACTAAGTAAAGACGTCTCGTTCGCTCTCAAATGTTTAGACGATATTTGGACGGCCGAGGGTATAACGAACTGTTATATGATCTAATAGTTCCTCTAGGATGACGATTTTACATTGACACAAACATTCACACATACAAATATCTAGCTATACCTAAATTCATTCACATCTATACGCTCTCGTTATTCTGAGACTATCAGAAGTGTGCTTACCAGAGCAAGACGGCATTTTTGACACGGCAAACTCTTCGTTTTATGAATTCGCAGGCATAACGCCGAACGAACTAGCGAAGATTACGGCGACCACGCGCACTGTTCTACAGACAGCTCAATCTACCAAGAGACCCAGATCGCTTATCAATTGGCGTGTGTGACAAAAAGAAAATTGTGTGAATCGAAACTATTCACTCAGATTTATGTTGGCCTGGCAAAAGCGATCAATGATAACGAGCAGGAAAATGTCAGCCAATACTATACGCTCTAGCATCATATGGCTAATGGCTGCCATTTTCTACACAACCGAATCGGCCATTTGTAATGGATGCCCACAAAGATTTGCTGTAAGCGTAGAAATCAAGGTATACAGTATATTTACAGTTAGCTCTGCAGTTGATGTTTACTTTAATGACAAACAAGTTCCTGCGCGCTGTTGATGACGACTTGTCTGTTAACATTGTGCTTTAGGACCCCTGTCCTAAGGTACCTGTTGCGTGAAACGATGCGCTCAGCTGTGACATGCAGCAAACCTTCGATAACCTGGGAAGACCAAACACACGAATACGAGCTTTGACTCACGTTATATATATATATATATTT